CTTTTCGATATCTCTCTCTATATATATATATACACACATGCATGCATGGATGGATGGATGGATGGATGGATGGATGGATGGATGGATGGATGGATGGATGGATGGATGGATGCATGCATGGATGGATGGATGGATGGATGGATGGATGGATGGATGGATGGATGGATGGATGGATGGATGGATGTATACACATAAAGATGTATAAACAAAATGAATATATATATATATAGATACACACACACATGTACGTATGTGTGTGTGTGAGAGAGTGGGTGGGTGAGTGATGTGCATGCAAATATATACACATAAATATATACATATTCCGGTGGAAGATTGAGACAGAAACAGCGAACAGGCGAACGAAATAAAGAAACACGAAATAACGAACGACGATAAGAAAGCAAGCTAGCTAGATAGCTAGCTAGATAGATGGATAGATAAGTAGATAGATAGACAGATAGATAGATAGATAGATAGATAGACAGATAGATAGATCGAGTAACGGCTTGGACCTGTGGAATGGTTGTGTGGTTTGGGATAGGGTCTAGGGTTTGGGGTTTAGGGTCGGCTATAGCACCCTTATCGTACCCCCATAACCCATCGAACTTCGTGTCCGTCCAGCGACTCCTCGGCCGCGCGCCAAGGACCCTGAGGGGCAGTCCACTCCCGGCCTTGCAGAGGGCGGAGGGCTCCTTCAAGGGTCCTGTTTAAATGTTCCTCTCAGGATGCCTACAAAAGGTTCTATACGGGGTTAGGGTTCTTTACATGTTCCTTTTAAGGGTTTCTGCAAAAAAAAGTCGTATAAGGGTGTTAAGAATGTATATAAGGAGTTTGGGGTTTGTGGTTTAGGGCTGTGGGGCTGAAGGTTTGGAGTTTCGGGCTTCCGAGGTTAAGGGTTGAAATGTTTGGGGCTCTCTGAGAGGGGCCTAAATCATTACCAGTACTTCGTTTGATGACATAAATCCTGCATAACTCATAATCAGGCATAAACCATAATTCCGAAAGTTTAGCGTCCTTAAGGTCATGCAGGATGTATATCATCAACCGTATTTTTCGGGTTCCTTCTTATATTTATAGTATACTGGACCCCAAAACCCTATTCTAAATACTAAGGTCCCTATATGAGATGGGTGAAGAGGTGTAGGGCTTGGGGCATGTACTAACTCTTCAAAGGACATGACCAGAGGAGGAGAAGGTGGTAACATTGGTTGCTGCTGCTGATGTTGTTGTTGCTTCTTTGCAAGCTGAATGCTAGACCCAAACTCGAAACTTGATTTCAGAATCTTCGCACGAGCATTCCGCGCCTTGAGACCAGTCGCTCTGCGACCATCCGCCCCGCGAATCCTTGGTGGACGCTCGGCACAGAGCTTGCTAGGGCTAGGGACACCTCGCGATCAATGTTCGACGGCTCCTACACCCCGAGCACCCCATGCGCGGACATACGGGGCCTAAATAGCTACAAATAGCATGAAGGAACTCCTTCTTATATTTGTTGTATGATCTATCCTAACACACAACTTTAAACATTGAGGCCTGTATAGTGACCGTGACCTCTGAACCCCGCTAGAAGCCCAAGTTCGAAGGCCTGAAGGCCGTTAGCTGATCTGAGAACCAAAGCAATGTAGTGGCCTCAATAACTCGCACAGAGTTTTGGGCTCTTTTATGGTAAAGTTAAAAAAGGACAGCATTGTAAGGAATAATATTGGCAAGTTTTTTCTGCCTCTATATCATCAGATTATTCCTATAAGCCGTTAAAAAGAGCACACTCCTAAACCCCGACATGCACGCTGCTGTCTGAAGCTCGAAACCTGAAAGCAGAGACCCCAAACACCTCAACCCTCATCCGGACCCTTCAAGGGTTTGGGGTTTAGGGATTCAACCTTCATCCCGATCCTTCAAACAAGGAATCCTCCATCCTACAGCTCCCAAGTAGAAGAGCCCTGCCCAAATCCGATTGCCACGGTCCGGTCGTCATGCCGCCAAGCCACAGATGGCCTAGCTTGGTCTAAGTTTAGGGTTGAACTTGGGGGGAGTGTTTAGGGTTGGCGGGTTAAGGGAGGTCGCGTCTGAATGGAGAGTTCAGGCTGTGGGACGTTGGAGTTGTTGAGTTGCTTAAGCTCTAAACTCTAAAGGCCAATATATAAATATCGTGACACACCCAAACCCTCAATACCTCGCTCTTCGATCCTTGGGGCTTCGGAGAAGTTGGCGACTTCAAGTTCTGAAGCTCTCAATATCTTTTGTGATTTTGAGTTATAGTTGAGGGTTTGAGATTGAAAAACCATGAGAAATTTTCGAGTCTCGTCGATTAAGATCTGAAGTCTCAAGGCTCGTAGCATCGTCGCGGACAGCATGAGGGGGGAATTGTAACTGGACACACTTACCAAATTTGCCTGTTTCTACAAAATTCGTAGGTATTAGACGACACCACCTGCTTCTCTGCCTGGACGAATCGCTCTGCCACCAGCTGCTCGATGAATCGAACCAAGCTGAACCTCTTTGTGGCTAAGCGTTCATTGTGTAATCAGGGTTTATGGTTGAGGGAGGGTTTGAGTACGGTTTTAGGATTTGCTTCGAGTTTGTTCTTGTTTGACGTTTCTTTTCCTCCCTGTCCCTGTGACAGTCGGAATACCATTATGGCTGCAGATTTCGGCCTGGCCGGGAGAGCCGACGTGATTCGGGTTGGGAGGTTCAGGGTTTGGGTTTAGACTTGGGAGCGCAGCCGCAGCTAAGGGCGAGAGCACACTGCGACCATCAGTCAATAGGCTCCTTCAGGTATTTATCGTAGTAGTAGTAGTAGTAGTAGTACTAGTAGTAGTAGTAGTAGTAGTAGTAGTAGTAGTAGTAGGCCCCTAAAGCTCTGCAGCAGCCCAGGCATTAGGATCCTGCCCCCGATAGCCTAAACATAAAAGCATAAGCCCCAAACCCCTCTAAACCCCGCCTCCCCTGCGCCCGCTAGGCCCTAAACCCTAAAATCTAGGGCTTTTGGTTGGGAGTTTAGGGGCGGCCTCCATCTTCGGAGTTCGCAGACTCTGCGGACCTTCCGAGACAGGAGGAGTAGGGTTTAGGGTGTAGGGTTGAGGGTTTAGGGTCTAGGGCTTAGGGTTCAGGGTTGAGGGTTTAGGGTGGGCACGAAAGAGAGAACCAGTCCTGAGAACTCGAGTGGGGTGTGGGTTGTTGGTATACAGCTCTTCAAGGGTTTCGGTGAACAGATCGGGGTCTTCGTAGTTAAGCTAAGGCCTTGTTTGGAGGCATATTCAGTTAGGACCCCCCTCGCATGGCACCACCCACCCCCACCCTCGTAATACAATAATATGAAAAAATCCTATTCGCACTCCAGATCCCAATACTCCTATCTACTTAGGTGCCATATCCCAAAAGGGGCGAG